CCTGGTAATTCTGCCAGTTACACGCTATTTGCCGCCAGGCAGCAATTCAGGTTTATATAGTTTAAATCTCCTCATGGCTCCTTTTGAAATGCTTTGCAGGCAGTCTGTGTAAATTACATGTTGCTGTGCACAGTCGGAACTACAGTGTAGGGCATGGAAAATTAAATTTTCTGCAATGCTATGCTTCCCTTGTGCACAAGCTTCTCTGTAGAAACTGAGCTCTCTCTCTCTCTGAGCTCTCTCCCCTGTCTCCCTCTTCAATAATATTCATAGTGACAATGCCCCCTGGACAGTGAAGAGTGACCTGGAGAGGCAGAGCTGGTGTGCAATGATCTTGGTACGATGACTCACAGGGAGGGGTGTCAGCTGCATTACAACCTGTACAAGACAATCCGACTCACAGGAAGGAGGGCAGCTGTTTACAGCCTGTTTTAAAATCTGACCACGGTGTCAGACTGAGGTTTCTATGGAGGGAATTTTGAATTTATAGGACTCAGGCCTACTAGAAAGTCAATAAAAATAATGTAAAAAAGCCTGCAATGTGAGTCATGAAAATGTACACACATACAACACACATACTACAACTTGTACTTGGTCTTGAAAAGGTGGTATCGGGACATCCCTAGTTTAGATACATCTAAGTGGAATAACAACATAGTTTAGAGCTTACTGTTTTGCAGACTTAGTCCAACTTCCATGGCTACTGCATTGTCTTTAGGCTGCTGGTAAGCATCACCACCCTTTTATAACCCAAGTACCTCCATTCCCATTAGCACTCCCAATGCATGTCATAATTCACCTTTCAGCTTGCATATGGTAACTTAGAACTCGCGTTACTCAGGTAACTAAAGGCAAACTTTTTTATTTTGTTAATATTGATATTTGCTTGAAAGTGACACTAAACTCACTCAGTTGAATTTTCAAAATGCATTAAAGTAGCATAACTGTTAATACAAATGTAACTTATTTGTGTATAATTCAGCTGTAGATCCTCAAATCATCTCTGAATTGGTACTGTCCTTCCTTCTGGAGAATGGCTACTTTTGTTCCCCATGGTCCCTGTGTGTGTGCTGCAAGCTCCTTCCTGTTATGGACTACAATCTCAATACAAATTAGTAAAGTAAACATGACATTGTAGTCCATCACAGGAGCGAGCTTGGAGCGGTGGCTACTTTACAACACACACAGGGACCATGCGGTTCAAAAGTAGCCACCCTCCAGAAGGAAGGACAGTGTCAGCAGCAATTCTGAGATGATTTGAGGATCTACAGCTGAGTGATATACAAAGAAGCTACATTTCTCTTAATAGTTAAGACACTTTAATGCATTTTTAAGATTTAACTCATGAGTTAAGTGGTCCCTGATGGTTGTAAATGGTGCAGAGTGCAACCAACTGCATCAGGAAGAGGTTAGATCATGTTTTTTTACAGAGTGTCACATGGGAACATTGATGACTAGGCAATGAGTCTATATGTCCCTACATAAGCTGTTACTTTTCCATAGAGTTCTTCAAGAAGTGTATGTAAGTGTATGTATATTAACTTGTTTTAATTTGGGAAATAAGAGGGATGGGGTAGAGTATTTGCCTGCTGGGGAAATCCAAACAAAAGAATAACAGTTGCCTTGTGAGCTCCTCAGCCTCACCTTCTTGTCTTTCATTGATAGGCTACAGCCCAGCTTTTCAGCAGCCTGAGAGGCAGTCTCAATGATAACGGGTCAATGATAATTATAGGATAGATAGTGCATGTGCCCACTTCCAACTAAAGCCTGCAGATGTGGGTTTACTTCTGAGAAAGGGGCCTTCAGTTCATCCAGTGTACACATAAAAACCCAGAACAATGAAAGCTGGAAAACGATTACATTTCATTCAGATACTTTCCCTGTATACACCTACAGTATAATGTATGGCAAGTTCATATTAGTGAGTTGCTAATGAAATCATTGTGGTTTAAATTGCTAATTTCATCAGTATTGTCATGAAACAGCAAACAGTATTTTCTTAATGCATTTGCCATCTACTATTTGGTAAAAACATATTTTTTCTTCCATGGTAGGGTTTGATACAACGCACTATATTGTTGTGTTTAGCAGACTTCAGTGAATGCTTCCTTTGTGCCTCGAATTCCAACACTCAGCATGTTGCTGAAAATCCTTCTGTTTTTATTAAATTCATGCCGAAACTATGTGCAATAATCAGATGTTGAAAAACTGTTACTCTTTCCAGAACTTCTTCCAAACATAATTCCATTTTGCAGTAGGCAGGGAGTTGAAATACAACAGACTGTGCTACTTTTTCCATTGCTCAGAGGTCCACCTTTTCTTCTCCCTTTCCCCTGACAATGGATTTTTGGCATTGGCGTTGGATACTTATTGTTCTATTAGACAGGCCTGCTATAAACCTCAGCGAGGTTTATAATACATATTTTGTGAGTCAGCAGAATTGAATCAGCAGCTTTTTGCTGTCATTTTATAGGTGTACTCTTGTGACATTTAGCAACTATCCTATTAAGTCTGCACTTTGCCAAGAGGGTTGACAATGGTGAGTTTCATTGCCAACCTCTTTGCCAGTGCTGTTTGCCATAGGTCATAGAACATTCTTCTTCAAATATTAGCTTTACAATTTTTGATCAATGCACTTTTAGTTTGGGCACCACCTGTTTGGTTTAATTTTTTCAAAACCTTACACAGCATTGTGCTAATTCACATATACTGTTAACTGGCAGTCAACCTAATAAAGAAATAAATATACTGTATATAAAAGATGGTGTTTCAACACCTTTTCATTCTTGTCTTACCCGAGGAAAGATCCTGGGGGTCCGAATCTGTTGTATGGACTGTACATGCTTGTACTTTGAATAAAGGTTCACGTTGTGCTGCAGAAAAGCGTTTCGTTGGATTTTCTACATATGGGAAAGCAGGGTAGCGCTCTTAAACTGCTTGCACCTATGAGGAGCAATTGGTGAGTTTATATATATAAAATACTGTAGATCTCTAAGTAAGTGCTTGTGTACACAGACATTCATTTGTGAGGAACTACTTTTCTTAAGTCAGTGGGAATGTAAAACCAGCTGGAAGAAGCGAGGTGGAGGTCAGAAGCAGCCCAGAAGAATAATCCAAGAGCATCTCATATTATGCATGTGTCCATCTGTAAAAGTCCTGATTGTTTTTTTATTACTTAAAAGTAAATTTTTTTCATATCGGTGCTTTATATATTTTTATATAT